AAAATTAAGTTGTCAAAGACCTCATTTTGCTTTGGTCTACAATCAAACATATTTGGTATTTTCAATCACCTCATATGCATGCGAAAGCTAGACAGTGAATAAGGAAGACCACAGAAAAATGGATGCTTTTGAGTTCTGATGTTGGGAGGAGAATATTGAAAGTGCCATGGACTGCCAAAAGAACTAACAGATCTGTGTTGGAAGAAGTGCAGCCAGAGTGCTCCTTAGAGGCCAGGATGGCCAGACATCATCTCTCATAATTCAAACATATTGTCAGGAGGGACCATTCGCTGGAGAAGGATACCATGTTTGGTAAGGTGGAGGGTCAGAGAAAAAGAGGAAGACCCCCAGAGAGATGGATTGGCAAAATGGCAGCATCAATGGGCTCAAGCATGGCAACAATTGTGAGACTAGCCCAGGATCAGGCATTGTTTCATTCTGCTGTGCATAGGGTCGCTATGAGTCGGTACTGACTTGATGGCACCTAACAACAACAACAACAACAACAATCAAACATTGATGTCCTAGGCACTAGTGAGCTGAGATGGGCTGGTCCTGGCCATTCTGAATCACACAATCACATGATTTACGATGCCAGGAATGTCAAATGGAAGAGAAGTGATCTCACCTTCATCAAAAAGAACATTTCAAGATCCTGAAATAGAATGCTCTCTGTGATAAGATAACACTGATACAATTACAAAGAAGACAAGTGAAATCACACTGTTTCTGAAATAGTTATCAAACTCTATTCATTACTGGTGTCTGGAATGCAAAGGTTGGAAAAGAGGAAGAGTTAGTAGTTGGAAACTATGGCCTTGGTGATACAAATGATGCTGGAGATCACATGGTAGAATTTTGCAAGACCAACGACTTCTTCATTGCAAACACCTTTTTCAAACAACATAAAAAATGATTATACACATGGACTTCACCAGATGGAATCCACAGAAATCAAACTGACTACATCTGTGGAAACTAATGGCAGAAAAGCTCCATATCATCAGCCAAAACAAGGCCAGGGGAAGACTGCGGAATAGACCATCAACTGCCCATATGCAAGTTCAGGCTGAAGCTGACAAAAATTAAAATAGGACCGTGAGCTTATATCTTCCCTGAACTTATATGTCACCTCAAGAACAGATCTGATGCACTGGACACTAATGATGGAAAACCAGAAGAGTTGTGGGATGACATAAAGAATACACAGGAAGAAAGTAAAAGGACATTAGGAAGACAAGAAAGAGAGAAAAGATAAAAATGGATATCAAAAGAGACTCTGAAACTTGCTCTCCAGCACAAAGATGCTAAAACAAATGTCAGAAATGAAGAAGTAAAAGACCCGAACAAAAAATTTCAAAGGGTAGCTCGAGAAGACAAAGTCAAAAGTAATAATGAAATGTGCAAAGATCTGGAGTTTAAAAAATTGAAAGAGAGAAATACACTCATTATTTCTCAAGCTGAAAGAACTAAGAAAAAATCAAGCCTCCACTTGCATTACTGAAGGATTCTCTGGGCAAAGCACTGAATGCTGCAGAAAGCATCAAAAGAAGATGGAAGGTATACACAGAGTCACTGTACCAACAAGAAATGGATGATGCTCATCCATTTCAAGAGGTAGGCTATGATCAAGAGCCAATGATCTTGAAGGAAGAAGGCTCTAGGAACCGATGGAATACAAATTGAAATCTTTCAACAAACTGATGCAGCACTGAAGATGCTCACTCATCTATGCCAGGAAATTTGGAAGACAGCTACCTGGCTAAATGACTGGAAGAGATCTATATTTGTACCGATTCCAAAGAGAGGTGACCCAATGGAATATGGAAATCATTGGACAATATCATTAATATAACATGCAAGTAAAATTTTGCTAAAGATCATTTAAAATCGACTGCAATGGTACACTGACAGGGAATTGCCAGAGGTTCAAGCTGCATTCAGAAGAGGACATGGAACAAGAGCTATCACTGCTGATGTCAGACGGATCTTGGCGGAAAGCAGAGATTACCAGAAAGATGTTTACCTGTGCTTTATTGACTACACAAAGGCTTTCAACTGTGTGGATCAAGACAAGCTATGGACAATATTGCAGAGAATGAGTATTCTGGAACACTTAAGTGTGCTCATGAGGAACCCGTACACAGACCAAGAGGCAGTGTTGTTTGAAAAAAATAAGGGGACACTGCATGGTTTAAACTTAGGAAAGGTGAGCAGCAGGACTGTATTCTTTCACCGTACTCATTCAATCTGCATGCTGAGCAAATAACCTGAGAAGCTGGATTATGTGAAGAAGAACACGGCATCAGGATTGGACGGAGACTCATTCAACCACCTGCAATATGCAGATGACACAACCCTGCTTGCTGAAAGCAAAAAAGAATTAAAATACTTACTGATGAAGATCAAAGACCACAGTCTCAGTATGGGTTGTACTTCAATGTAAAGAGAACAAAAATCCTCCCCACTGGACCAATAAATAACATCATGATAAATGGAGAAAGGATTGAAGTTGTTAAAGAGTTCATTTTGCTTTTATTCATCATCAACATCAAGCAGACATCAAGAAATCAAGCAACATATTGCATTAGGCAAATCTGCTGCACAAGATCTTTTTAAAGCACTAAAGAGCAAAGATGTTAGTTGAGGACAAAAGTGTGTCTGACCCAAGTCATGGTATTTTCAATAGTCTATATGCATGTGAAAGTTGGACAGTGAATAAGGAAGATCGTAGCAGAATCGATACATTTGAGTTAGGGTGCTGGAGGAGAAGGGCCAGGGACTGCCAGAAGAACCAATAAATCTGTTAGAAGAAGCACAACCAGAAGGCTCCTTAGAAGTCAAGATGGCAGCCTTCGTCTCCTACTTTGGACATATTATCAGGCGGGACTAGTGTCTGGAAAAGGACATCATGTTTGGTAAAGTGCAGGGTCAGGGAAATAGAGGAAGATGCACTGACAGAGTGGCAGCAACAATGGGCTCAAGTGTGAGGAAGGCGCAGGACTGAGAGACGTTTTGTTCTGTTGTAGACAGGGTTGCTATGGGTCAGAACCAACCCAACAGCACCTAATAATAATACAATCAATAGTCATGGAAGCAGCAGTCAAGAAATCAAAACAACGTACTGCACTGGGCAAATCTGCTGCACAAGGGCCTGTAAAAGTGTTCAAGTGCAAAGATACCAGACTGAAGACTGAGGTGCACCTGACCCAAACCATGGCATTTTCAGCTACCTCATATGCACATGAAAACTGGACAGTAAATAAGGAAGATCAGAGAAGAATCAACGCATCTGGATTACAATGTTGTTGTTGTTGTTGTTGTCAGGTGCCATCGAGTCGGAACCGACTCATAGCGACCCCATGCACAGCAGAACGAAACAATGTCCGATCCTAGGCCAACCTCACTACCGCTGCCACACTTGATGCCATCAATGATGCCACCTGGCCGATCCATCTCAATGGGGGGTCTTCCTCTTTTTTTCTGACCCTCCATCTTACCCAGCATGACATCCTTCTCCAGCGACTGTTCCCTCCTGACAACATGTCCAAAGTAGGAGAGACAAAGTTAGCCATCTTGGCCTCCAAGGAGCACTCTGGCTGCACTTCTTCCAAAACAGATCTATTGGTTCTTTTGGCAGCCCATGGCACTTTCAGTATTCTCCTCCAACACCACAACTCAAAGGCATCAATTCTTCTACGATCCTCCTTATTCACTGTCCAGCTTTCGTATCCATATGAGGCTATTGAAAACACAATGGCCTGGGTCAGGCGTACCTTAGTCCTCAAGCTGACATCTCTGCTCTTCAATACTTTAAAAAGTTCCTGTGCAGCGGATCTGCCCAATACAATATATTAGAGTAGGATATTCAAAGTACCGTGGACTGACAAAAGAATAAACAAATCTGTCTCAGAAGCACAGAAGGCTCCTTAGAACCAGGATGGCCCGACTTCATCTCTTGTACTTCAGACATGTTGTCAGGAGGGGCCAGTCCCTGGAGAAGGGCAGCATGCTGGTAAAGTGGAGGGTCAGCGAAGCAGCGGGAGAACATCACCCAGATGGGATGACACAGTGACAGAAACAATGGGCTCACACATTACCAACTGTGAGGACGGTGTCCGAACAGGCAGAGCTTTGTTTTCTTGTGCCTAAAGTCACTGTGAGTCGGTACCAACTGGACAGCACCTAAAAATAACTACCACCGAGCACCAGCAATTTTGTACAATTCAATATAATATAATCAACAAAGTGCTCAACCTCAAATTTAAAAAAACAAAACTTGTATAAAACACCAAAAAAGACCGCCCAGTAAAAAACAGATAAAGACTTACAGACCGCACATAAAAGAAGGCACGGCTGATGACATGGGGGTTACCAGCTCCCTGGTAACTAGGGAATGTGGGTTAACACCAGCACACTTTCCCACCTCTGGCCAGGACACAGAGAGCTGACGAATGCCACCACGGGAACAGATGGTCAACACCTCCCTAGAGGCATCCTGTGACCAGCACGTGGCTATAAAGCGACAGCAAGAGTGCTCACAGTGGACCTCCCCTTCACAGCCTCCAGTGGAAATGAGCGTCATACAGTGTGATGGACAAACACGTTGTGGTTCTGTCCTTGGATGTACTGCACACAGCAGCAGAACAGAGTGGACAACAGCTCCACAAAGTCAACAGGAGACACACCCACAATGCTGAGCAACAAGAAAGCCCATAGTACAATTCCATGTACGTACACTCCAGACACAGGCAGAGTGCAACTGCGGGGTGGGGGCGTGTGCGGGGCGTGGGAGGGAGAGACGTGGCCTGGCACTGCTTCCTGCTGGGTCAGCCTGCTCTGGACAAGCTCTGCCGATTCACGAAGTCAATCACTGACCCTCCCAGAGAGCTTTCATCCTGTACACATGGGGCATTCTAAAAAGTAAACTAATATATTAAGTGCAACAGAAACCCACCCCGGCCTGAATCCCCACCCCCCACCCCACCCCCCCAGCTTACTCTGCTCAGTCTGGAGACGGCCAAGGAGACGGAGGTTTTAAACTCTTCCAGGTTCTTCTGTGCTAACGTAGTGATCAGACTTGTGGCTGCCGTCACCACACCCTGAAGGGAAGACACGTGCACACACATATGGATTCTGATCCCAAACATTTGGAGTTGATGATTCATCTCAAATTCTCATAAACTAGAGCCACAAGCTGGGAGCCCATGGGTCGTCTCAGGCCCCGACATGCTGGGTGTCCTCAAGGGTGAGTGGTGCTGAAGCTCTCAATGACTAGCCTGGCCCGCATGCTGAGGTCACACCACCCTCTCCACCTTCCTGCTGTCCCTCACCTCGACACCTGTCTGGCCTCGAGCTATTTGCCCTGGCCACCCGTTTGCAGTCATTTTATGCTGATCGCAGAGGGCAACTTTATCTTTTCACTCACTGGAATCTTCACAGCCCCAAACAGAGATGACAGAAAAAACAACTTCAAAAGATCCTCTTTCCTCTTTTAGAGACGAGGTTCAGGCCATGTATCTGTCTTCCTGTCCCCAAGCTCCACAGGCTAATTGAGGGGCAGTGGGACAACATGTGCACGGCCAGCCATGGACCCTGGGACACACACAGGCCGCAGGACAACGCAGGTCACTCCCAGTGGAGCCCACCTCTGCTCAGCACACAAGTGCTCCCGCGAATATGAAAGGCTGCCATGGAGGCAGGACATTCGTGGGCTCTCGGACCCTCCCGGGGCACCGTGAGGAGGCGCACTGGCCATCTCCACACACCAGGTGCTGGTCGTTGAGGAGGTGCACCACCCGAGAAGTCCAGTCACCCATGGGCACGAGGTCGGGGGACGTTCGGTAGAGGCGCAGCAGACACAGGGCGGCACTCTGCTTCACGCTGTCCATGGTGTCTCTGGAAGAGATGGGCTGGTGAGCAACCTGCAGCCCCGTCCCAAGACACGACCCGCCATCACAGCTAACCGAGTGTGGAGGGCTGGGGTCTCATCAGAATGGTCCAAGTGTCCACAATGACGACACCAAGTGGACAGGTCTCCTGATGCTCACACTCATTTCCCGACTGCTGACCACAACCTGGGCTACACAGACTGAATGGGCGGTTTGATGTTTGTCACGTAGTTGGACCATTGTTGTTGTTGTCAGGTGCCATCGAGTCGGAACCGACTCATAGAGACCCCATGCACAGCAGAACGAAACAATGTCCGATCCTGGGCCAACCGCACTACCACTGCCACACTTGAGTCCATCAATGATGCCACCTGGACCATTAGCAACACAAAAGTGCACAGGAAGCTGCTGAGCTGGGGTCTCTGGCCTAGTTCCAGTCTTCATCTCCTGAGAGCATCAGCACCTGTATTCCCATCGCTCCCCGCGCTCGCACACTGGCTGAGGCTGTGCCCTTCACACTGCACAGACACCTCCTGCACTCGCTTCCAGGTCACCCTGGGCCCCATCCTGGGCTTACTCACCTCAGAGACACCCAGAGGCTGCACAGACCAGGGGAGCTGTCCTCTCTGGTGCAAATATGTGTGGGGAAGGGAGGGCAGGGGCCTCTCCGTTTGTTGGCTCACGGTTATGGAGTACCCGAGGCCTCAGGGAAGTCAGGTGGGAATTCATACTGTCTTTACCATAACCCCACTTCCAGTTTTCAATGATTAAATCTCCCCAACACTGTTCCTAATCTCCCAACAGTGTTCCTGATCTCAACACTGTTCCTATCTCCCCGACACTGTTCCTGATCTCCCTGACACTGTTCCTGATCTCCATGACATTGTTCCTATCTTCCCAACACTGCTCTTAATCTCCCTGACACTGTTCCTATCTCTCATTGTTCCTTATCTCCCCAACACTGTTCAAGGAGAAACACATCAGAGTAATGTCATCTCCTAGCGACAGAGACCCTGGGAAATGTGGGGATACCCACCCTTTTTAGCACCCCACTTCCATGTTGGTGGATCATTCACATCCAAGGTGTCTGCAGGGAGTAGCAGAGTGTCCACCGGATGCAGCCCTCTGCTCTCCCAAGACCGCACGGCCCAAGAGTCTTTCACCTACTGCTTCTGGCTCACCTTGTTTCCACCACTGCAGCCCAGGTCCTGTGGCATCACCCCCTCCCCGGTGAGCCCAGCCTCAATTACAGAGCCACACCCAGGTCAGAACATCCAGAAGGGGGCATGCCACTGTAACTGAGAGGCCGAGTGACTGACAACACCCTGCGGTCCTGGATGGCTGTAGTGTTCTCTCTCTATCAGCCCACGATCCCTCTTAGCCCATGTTTGGGAGGGCCCAACACTGCATCTACACTTGGAGCACTTGCTACTCTTCTGCCACATGTCCCATTCCTGGCTGCCCCCTCCCCGGGTCCCATCACAGCCTCCCATCCCTGAGCTGTCTTCCCACTCCATCACTGAGAGGCCCAGGAGGTGCTCCACTTACTTCTCTGGACTCAAGCAGCACTGGAGCACCCAGAGTTTCTCTCGGGAAGCCTCAGCTGGTGAGCTCTTTCCAGAACTGTGGCCCACCCCTCACTCTGGGTCTCTAAATTAACCTAAGGGGTGGGGGCACACCCAGACTTCTCTGAGACTCAGTGCAGCTGCCAGCACAGGGGCTATGTGCCCATGCGCTTCAATCTTTCCAAAACCTCTCAGGTTCAGCTGGCCTTGACCCAGAGTCTAAACTCGTACTTACTGAGTAGCCACAAATGCTCACATGTCCCCAGGACAGAGGGTGGGGGAGTCAGTACATCCCACGGGAGCTCTGTAACCCAAGACGCCCCAAGACATACATACCCAGCCACAAGGATCTTGGGAATCTCCCCAGCAAATGCCTCAGCCATCTCGCGGCTGCCCACATTGGCGATGCAATGCAGTGCCAGGCCCATGAAGGTGGGGTTCCGGCTAGCCAGGTCGTTCTTGATGGCATTATTGATTAGGCGGATCAGCTCACTGTTGGAGTTGACCAGCACTGAGATGAAGAGATAGCCCTGTGTGCAGGGAGGACAGAGTCACAATGAGTCATACCTACCACATGGCAGCCTGGGTGGTCCACCTGTACACCCACCTGCCCAGCCCCCGCAGAGGACATGTTAACCCTGCTGCCGGAGATAAGGTGGCCACAGGGCTGACACTGCAGACATTCAGGGCTCAGGAACACGCATGTTTCAGTGGGTCACACTCCTCAGTCCCCACCTCCCCACACCTCCCTCACTGACCTAAAGGTCATACTGGCGAGTGTCTCATGTCACTAAGCAGGGATTTCCTGGAACCTAGCCCATCTGCACGGCTTCAGCCTCCCAACCAAGACCCGAGTGAGAACTCACACAGCCTCCGACCTTCTTAGCAAGAAGCCACGTGACCTGACCCGACCACAAAGCCACACTGCCGCATCCAGTCCGGCCACTGCTGCCCTCTGGCCACATGGCCTCCACTGCACGGTACCTGCTCTGGTCACCGCATACTTCAGACTCCAGCTCAACACTCTCCAGCCCAGCCCCTCCTCCCAGGGACTCTGCATCCCCAGCTGTCAGTCTCTGGGGGCACGTGTGAGGGCTGTCCCTCCCTAGGGTCCCCAGGGGACAGACACCAACCATCCTGGAAGACCTGGGCTTCGCTTTTCCTTTCCCTGAACTAACATTACGACAAGTGGGAGAAACTATTACTTGACGACATTGCACAAACCGTACAGAAATCAGCTACTCCAAGAGAACGCAGACAACAAGCAGCTTGAGCCACTCTGGACCACGGATGGACTGCTAAAGCCACGTGACCTCAGGCGAGTGGGGCCCCCACATCACAGGCTGGACTCCACAGCACCAGGGCGAACCCTCCAGGCATGAAGTGAAAGTATGCCGAGACTAACTAGAAGGAAGTGGCTGCCTAACTAAGAACTTGACCTGGAAAGACCCCCAGCGCCTTGGAGGCTTCCTGTGGGCATTCATTCGGTGGTCTGCAGCCCTACTCAGTCCCCAGGAGTCCACGGCACACTCACAATCTGCTTCTCCGTGTATCGGTTGGAGCTCAGCAGGTTCACAGCCTCCATGTGTCCAAAGTCAATGTCGTGGCCCAGGAGGAAGATGAAGAGCAACTTGCAGACATATTTTTTTTTGCTATAGCCATCAAGAGCCTTGTCACCTGTAGAAGGAAAAGGAGAAGGTTCATGCAGATGAGGGGGCTGACCTCGACCTTCCTCCAGAACACGGACAGTGTCGAGGCAGGTAGCACTGCTCAGGGACTGGTTTGACCTGACAGGCTGCCCCAAACACAGGCATCCATGACGACTTCCGAGGCGGTGGGCCACCCCCACTAACCAGCTGAACTCCTTCCCCCTGACGGCAACTTGAGACTCTACTCCTTTCAATGGCAAATTAACATGTAACTTGAAGGACTAGACATAAACTATAAACACAACTTAGTCCCTTAACTCCCACACCCGTCACTTCTTGCTGGGGACACATCATAAAGTCCCCATGTCTGTGTCTATACAAGGTCTGCCTCCAGCTCCTCCCCAGCCCAGAGCCCCTCCTTCCAGAAGCCTCCTTTAGCAGCACAGCCACAGGAGAGACACATGCCTCTGTGTCACTGCCTTTTCCTTAGGGTGTCATGACTCCTCCGTAAGACCGCTCCCTGGAGGCGCACAGAAAGCCTCCTACAAGGCCATCCCAGGAGCTGAAGGCCCAGCAGGCCCACAGGCGAGTCCAGGCAATGCGAGCAAGAAAGGACACGAATGCTGCAACCTCCAAAGAGGGTCTGATACAGACATGGCGAAGTGCTCACTCCAAAGGCCATTTCAAGGGCTCACAAAGGTGGGGGAGAGCCAGAGACAAAGCCTGAGTCAGAGGCCAGATCAGGACCCCTGCTGACAGGAACACCACCCTTCCCAGTCACAGCCTCAGAACATGGGATTTGAGCCAGCACTACTGCCCCAAAGCTCCAAGAAATGTTTCACAGCAGGACCGCCATGCACCCACTGGGGACAAAAGACTGAGAGGCTCAGTAGAGGCCTTTAAGAGCACACACACGCCTTCCAACATGATCATACTCACCTTACCCAGGCCCCAAGGGTCCTCAGGAGCACACAGCTGCCCCCCAGACCTGCACAGGGGGACCGGTGGAGTCTACCTCCACGTCCACCCTCCTGCACAGCGGTACCTGCGGAGTCCACCTCCACGTCCACCCTCCTGCACAGAAGGACCTGTGGAGTCCACCTCCACGTCCATCCTCCTGCACAGAAGGACCTGTGGAGTCCACCTCCACGTCCATCCTCCTGCACAGAAGGACCTGTGGAGTCCACCTCCACGTCCATCCTCCTGCACAGAAGGACCTGTGGAGTCCAACTCCATCCCGCCCCTCCAGCACAGTGGGACCAGGGGTTCTTGTCAGCAGAGGACACTGAGTCTCCCTGCTGGCCACTGCCTTCCCACAGCCCTTCAACATGAGCCCACTCCCTGTGTGGGCACTCTGAGGCTCACCTGCAGTCCAGGGATCCCATGCTCACCTTACTGACCTGCTTACCTATGAACAGCAGCTCCCACCACTGCCCCTGGGTGAGCACCTTTGCTGCCTCCCTGGGGGCGCTCCCTCAGGACCAGGGTCCCAGGATCCCTGGTAGCTAGAAGTCCTGTCCCTCCAGCCAGAGCCTCAGAATCTTTACTGAGTGTCCCTCTTAACCTGCTCTGTGGCTTCTACCGCTGGATGGTCCCGCTCAGTCCAGTACTGGAGTGCAGTCATGACTTAAGGTCAGTCATCCTACATGTATGACAGATCTCCCAGTGAACCTGAGGACCTAGTTTAAAACTGTCCAAATGGGCTGGCTTCTGTCTGTCCTCCCCTTCCCCTCAACTGCATTTCTGCCAATGCCCGCCCCCTGGTGGTCAGAAAATGAGACTGGAACAGGCCTCAAAGCTGTGACAATGTTCTCAAGCCTGGACACTAAAAGCCAGCGAGGCAGATGGAGCCTACAGTGTCTTCATCTGTCAGTCAGGCCCCCAGCATCCCAGCACCCCAGCCTGGCTGAGCAGCAGGTCTCAGCAGCACCTCTGTAGTAGGAGACAGCTGTGCCCATCAAGGGTTATTCCAGCTCCAGGAAAAGAGGGACTCCTGGGGAGTGGGTTCAATGGCCACTACACAGACAACTCAAGAGGAATCAGCGGCTTGATTTTAAACATTTCTCATTCTACAAAGCCATAATAGTATCTGTGTACTGAGAACTTAGCTTTGAAGTGAAAACATAGGTCCTTATGATAGAAAATGTACATGGGAATGTTTTGTGGAAGACTAAACAAACTCACCTTTAAATTTCGATCGTATGTTCGCCAGTTCTTTATTGATCCTCTTTATTTCTGCTTCTTTACTTTTGCCTGAAAAAGAGAAGACCAGCAATTACTCTGACTGTCTTCTACAGCAACGCCTGGTCCCAACACGGCCCACATCCCAAGAAGTACAGGCACAGCTGCCCCGCGGAGTCCCTAGTTCAGTCCCTGCTACAGCAGGATACAAGCTCGGGGAGAGATGCCATCAGCCCAGACACACGCCAGGTGGAACACCCACCGCAGAGCCCTGACCTGCAGCCCTGGCCGGATGACTGCCCTGACAGAGCAGGCCTGTGAACACCCCAGGAAGGCAGCTGTCCTACACAGACACGGTCAGATGCATGGACGGTGTGGCACTAGGCCACACAGCTTCCAATCAGGCCTTCTTGCTGCATATCTGGAGCTGCGAAGGCCCTCCACATACCTGTTAAACATTCCCGACACCATCACTGCCAGCCAGGAAGTTTCCCCTGAGAACTGAGTCTCAGTGCCACAGATGATGACAGCAGAATACAGTTTCTACTGCTCTATTGTCCTTCCTTGGTAGCATTGGTGGCAATATAGGATCAGTGTGGGATTCCTAACCACAAAGTCGGCAGTTCAAACCTACCAGCTGCTCAAAAGGGGAAGATGACGCTTCCTGCTCCCGTAAAGATGTACGGCTTGGGAAACCCTATACAGGGTCACTACGAGCCACAACCTAATCAATGGCACCTAACAAGGACGACTACGATTTCTTTCCTTATGAAATTTACCAATCTGTAAAAGCTGACACGTGTACAATTATCATATCCACTGAAGTTTGGGGATTCTCCATTGTACAAAAAGGGGAAGACATAAATTCTATGGGTCACAGACACTAGTCAGACAAACACACTGAACTGGCGCTGCCACAATGAAGATGTAGCTGGTGCGAGCAGCTCCCCAACAAAGGCGACTTCATGGCAGCAGTCAGGTGCTTTGATGCCACTTGTCAAGGGGCTCCTGAGAGAGGACTTTAACCCCCCACGGTGCTAGGGATAGGTCTCATGAAAAACTCCTCTTATCTTTTCAGATAAGGAATCTGATTTGCTGAGAGAGCAAGGCTGGCTAACCGCAGGGGACAGCCCTGCCCTCCTGGAGTCTGATCTTTGCTCCACAGTAAGCAGTCCTGAGTTGTCCATAAGACTCGGGCAGCTGGAGGGCCTGGGTCTTATCCACAGTCATTCCCACAGTGAACTCCGGAGTTTCTGCTGGCTAATAAGGAATCCAGACTGGCCCATAGTTACTCCCCAAAAGCAAGTTACCAGTTAGGCCCAGTATCAGTCACTAGGAGGTTTGTCTTACTTTTCAGTAGCAACAGAAGGTCCGTGATGGTGCAGCGGGGGCCACATCTACCAGCCCTCCCCGGCATCAAAGGCCCATCTGCTTCCATAAGGATCTGCTGCTGGTGTTTTTGTAAATGCTCTCCAGGCGGTTCCGACTCAAAACAATCAACCTCGTGGTTAGCAGTCCAGTGCTTATCCTACAGCACCACACCAGCCAAGAAAACCCTATTGGACAGTTCTGCTTTGCCCTGTAAGACCATCATGCATCAGAAGCACACCAACAGCACACAAAAACAACATACAGCAACAAGTGGACTTGTCCAAAAGAAGGAACAAATCAGTCTTGAAAGAAATACAAGCAGAATGTTGCTTAGATGCAACATTGACATGGCCCATCCTCAGGGAAGACCAGCCACTAGAAAAGTACGGCAAAGTAGAGGGGCTGTGGAAACACTGACACACTCACAACCACAATGGGTCCGCACACATGGACGGTGGTCATGAGGACAGTGCAGACCTGGGGAGGGTGTCTTCTAATGTATGATGGCTCACCAAGTTGACAAGTAGCAAAGAATGTGTTTTGTGAGGACAGGTCTCAGATTGTTAGAACCACTGCTCCTGGTCATCCTTCAAGATAAACATGCTTGTTAATTCTTTCCTCTTGTTTTCAAGCTGAACCAATCAACAGCCAAGTTCCAAAACAATCAGTACAGGACTGTGGAACTTACTATCAGAAAATGTCAAAATCTGAATGCAGTCTGTAGGCCTTTGAAATATACAACAGAACTTGCTGGAAATAAAGACTCCCAAAGCCAAAGACCAGATGCTGTTGGTCCATTCCAGTTCAAGGCGACCCCTATATCTTACGGAGAAGGCACTCAGAAGGTTCTACGGACTGTGAACTTTCAGAGGCAGATCTCCGGGACTTTCTTACCCGGTTAGGTCTGAATCATCAACCGTTCAAGGTTAGCAGCTCGATCAGGGTGAGTCTTGCTATAAGATGGTTTCATTGGGTAACTCAAAAGTCTAAAACTTAAAACGATTAATTTTTGAAGGCAGATACTATTGCTAACTCAATAAAAACACTGAGGAAATAAACAATTACTGCTGTTGTCAAGTGCTGTTGAGTTGGTTATGACTCATAACGAACCTACCCAGGGTTTCCAAGGAGCGGCTGGTGGATTAGAACCACCAGCCTTGAAGTTTAAACCTACCTTGCAGTCAAGTGCTTACCCTATAGCACCACACCAAGATTCCACAGACTTATACTCGACCCAACAAGAGCACAATACACAATCCTCTCCAGTGCACATGGAACATTCTCCAGAACAGACAGATGTTGGGCCAGAATGCAAACCTCAATCAATCTTTTAGATGTTGTTAACATCAAAATACTACAAATCATCTTCTCGGATCACAACGCTATAGAGTTATAAATCAACAACAGGAGGGTCAAGGAGTGGAAAAAAATCAAAGTCACTAGTGATGGAGGAAACTAAAAAACCAATTAAAAATTATTTTAATCAAACAAGAATGAAAGCACAACATACCAAAATCTTTGGGAAACCTCAAAAGCAATGCTCAGAGGACAATTTGTAGCAATAAGCACACAATTTAAAAATTAAGAAACAGAAAAACAGAAGGAAATCAACACAACTAGAAGTTCTTTAAAAGGATTGATGAAATCGACAAACTACTGGCAAATCTAAGGAAGGAGAAGAGGACGATGCAAATAACAAATAAAAAACTTAAACCAGTGACATCCCAACAGAACCCACTGAAATCAAAGGGTAACACCAGTTTCTCATGTGTAGTGCTACAGACTAAGCACTGGTCCACATTGAACCGCAAGGTCACTATGAGTTGGAACTGACTCAACAAATTTGAAACTCTAGAATAGACAGATTTCTGGAAACACACTACCCACCTAAACTAACACAGATTGAGGTAAAAAAAACAAAAAACAGAAAAAAACTAACAAAAAACAGTCCTGGTTCAAATGGCTTCACTGGTGAATTCTACCAAACCTTCAGAGATGTGCTAGCACCAATTCTACTCAAACTATGCCAAACTATAGAAAAGGATGGAATAGTCCCAAGTTTACATTATGAAGGAAGCATAACCCTAATACCAAATCCAAGGCAAAGACAGCATTAAAAATTCAAATTATAGACCAATATCCCTTATGAATGTAGACACAAAAATTCTCAACAAAATCCTAGCAATTAGAAGCAAAATGAAGCAGGACCTATATCTCATGCAGCATACATAAACAAACTCACAATGAATCAAGTATCTAAATGTAAGACCTCAAACTTTATACAGCATCAAAGAAAAAGTAGCGACAGACTTGTTGTTGTTGGTAGGTGCCACTGAGTCGGTACCAACCCATAGCAAACCTAGGCACAACAGAACAAACACTGTCTAGTCCTGTGCCAACCTCACAACTGTTGCTACATTTGTGCCCATCGCTGCTGCCACAGTACCAATCCATCCCGTTGGGGGGTCTTCCTCTTTTTCTCTGACCCTCCAGTTTACCAAAAATGATCATCCTTCTCCAGGGACTGGTCCCTCCTGACAATATGTCTGAAGTATGAGCAAAGAAGTCTAGCCATCCTGGCTTCCAAGGAGCATTCTGGCATACTTCTTCCAACACAGATTGGTCTGATCTTTTGGCAATCCATGGCACTTTCAATATTCTCCTTCAACACCATAGTTCAAACGCATCAATTCTTCTATGGTCTTCCTTAGTCACTGTCCAACTTTCACATGCACATGAAGTTACCGAAAATATCATGGCTTGGGTCAGGTGCACCTTAGTCTTCAAACTGACATCTTTGCTCTTCAACACTTTAAAGATTTGCCTAATGCAATGCGTCATTTGATTTCTTGACTGCTGCTTCCATGAATGTTGATGGCTGATCTGAGCAAAATGAAGTCTTCAACAACTTCAATCTTTTCTACATTTATCGTGGTGTTACTTACCGATCCAGTGGTGAGGATTTTTGTTTTCTTCACATTGAGGTGCAACCCATACCAAAGACTGAGGTCTTTGATCTTCATCAGTAAGTATTTTAAGTCCTTTTTGCTTTCAGAATAGTATCATCTGTATATCGCAGGTTGTTCCTCCAATCCTGATGCCACGCTTTTTTCTTCATATAATCCAGTCTCTTGGATTATTTGTTCAGCATACAGATTGAATAAGCATGGTGAAAGAATACAACCCTGGTACACACCTTTCCTAATTTTAAAACCACTCGGTGTTCCCTTGTTCTGGTCGAACAACTGCCTGTTGGTCTATGTGCAAGTTCTTCAAGAGCACAATAACTGGTTCCGGAATACTCATTTTGCATAATGCTGTCTATAGCTTGTCATGATCCACACAATTGAAAACCTCTGCGTAGTCAATAAAGCACAGGTACACATCTTTCTGGTATTCTCTGTTTGCATCTAAGAGCCATCTGACGTCAGCAATGATATCCCTCGTTCCATGTCCTCTTCTGAATCAGGCTTGAACCTCTGGAAGTTCTCTGTCAATGTACGGTTGTAGCCGTTTTTGAGTTATCTATAGCAAAATTGTGCTTGCATGGGCTATTAATGACATAGGGACAAACTTAGGGGCCCCAATACATGGCATACATACGCTGTCAAACATAACTAAAATTTCACAAGACAAATCGCGACTGTTGCTGTTATTAAGTGCCACTGAATTGGTCCCGACCCATAGTGACCTAGTATAGG